CCCCCCAGACCCACAGCACGGCGGCGAGACCTCCCTAACCCACATTTCCCCCGCTCGCTGCAGCTGCAGAGTGAAGCACCCTCCTCTTGTAACGGGAGAGGGATGCGCAGGGGATATTTGAGAGCGCGGAGGTGCTGTAGGAAATTTCCTTCATCCTAGAGAAGGCGAAGCGGAGGGGATAGATGCTCCATCAGGGATAAGGAGTTGTCTGCTAGTGTCGTCCTCGTTGGTGTGGGTAAACAGCGCTGATGTTTCAGCTACAAAGCCGTGGGATACGAATCCCTTTGGAGGGAGGGGGATCATCCGAGACAGAATCCTTGCTGCCTCCCGGGCCAAATTCGGGTAATTCTTTTGAAAAAGTTAATAAAGGGAGAAAATACTTTCCTGCGTTGGGACGGCAGCTCAGGATGCTCTCGGCTCATCTCACTGTTCTGATAGTTTGTGATCAAACTCTTCCGACAGAAGCAGAGGGAAACCTGCGTGGCTTTCCAGACACGGCAAATTAATCTTTATGTATCAGGGTATGTATTTGACTGTTCTCCACCACTTGGGTCATTTATATCTTTTTATTAAGTTGTAGCAAACCTAATAGTTCTCATTTATTTTGAGATGCCAGATTATGCACAAAGGAAACAACTTTCGTTGTTTTCGCCTGTGTCCGCGTTCTGCCGGTTTCAGACTGGTTTATTATCATCGCCGTTGCTCTTAAAATGCTAAATATGCTCTTAAAAATACTGACTGGGAGCTGGGTCACCCGGGAGCAGGACACCCGTGCCACTGAAACATCGGCCCGTGAAAAGCCGAAATCTGGGATCATGTGAGCGTGTGCCACTGGGAACTGCGGCTGCCCCCGAACCCTGCCGGCTTCGGGAACTCGATTTTACCAAGAAGTTGTCGGATGTCAGCATGGTTTAGTTCGCCGCCCGGTTTTCCGTGCAGGGGCTGGGGTGGGCTCGGTGGTCCTGTGTGCCCCCCAGCAGTGCCCACCCGAGCCTTGGGGCACGCACGGGGCCCCTCGTCGTGAGCTCATCCGTGGCCTGAATCCCTGAGATTAAGTCCCGGATTAGGCGGTGGCAATTGATCCGCGGGTCCTCGCTGTGCTGCGGCCGGGAGGCTGCGGGGAATCAATCGCCTCCTCTGCGTCTCCAGCGAGCTCGGCCCGGGCGGGCGAGCGGGTGCGATGGGTGCTGGTGCTGGCCAGGGTGGATGGGACACCGGAGAGGAGCACCCCAGGTACTGACCACTGCCACCAGATGCTGCTGTTGTCACTGCTACGGAGAATCTTAAGGCAGCGGGAGAAGAAAGGAAGTGACTTACCCTTTGCTGATATTCAGGGCG